AAAAAGAAAAAAATGCTAAAGTGAGAAAGGACCATTTCTTGTAACATCTTCTCAAACTGAAGTGCTAGGAAAACTTGACAATTACTGTTTCGTAACAATTCGAAGAGTTTGAGTAATGTCATGTTCAAAAATGCCAGAAGCGGAATTAATGGATTTTTTATATTATGAAATCGGAAAATTGGGACCTTTTAAGCACTTTAAAAAGGCAGAAGATCGATGCATTCCATATCTTGCTGATTTACAAAGGATGATCGGAAACAGCTCATCAACATGAATTCATTTTGTCGCTGCCTTTTAAATATTTTATATATGGTGTGCGATCGTTCTATAGAAAATGTCGCCAAAAAAGAAACTCTGTCAAAATTCTACCTTGCTTGGCCAACCTGATAAGGTAAAATGCAGCAACTACCACAGGATACTCTTGTCAGTCACGTTGAACTTTACGATTGCCTCGTTGGGCAAGGATTCACCACATAACTGCACTTTATGTCCTTCTAGGCTCCCCTTTTTCGAAACGTAAATGAAAAAGCTGAAATAGAGAGCAAATGAGGAGCCTGTCAAATCGCGAGTTTGTTGAACCAAGAAACGATCGTGCACAAAAAGAAAACATTATATTGAGTTGTCGGATAAGTTCACACCTTTTTTTCAAGGTCAATGATATTCCAAAAAAGCGAATCAGCACCACATTGCACATCATTCGAGAGCAGATATCTCCCTCTACAAGAAAGTATGCCTGGCTTTTTCAAAAAAAATATGTGTTTGAAGGACTTAGGGCTTATTGTGCTTATGGATAAGATGTTTAATTAGCACGTTACATAATCCTTCAAACTTCAATATTAATCACATTGGAAATAGGATAATCCATTTTATGCGGAGACTTCTTTTAAAATGGTATATAATGTATAGCCAAAACTTCCTTTTTTTTCAAATTTTTGGGTTCAAAAAACACGAACTTTCCCGATCTAGCAGAATATTTTCCAAAAAGCACTCTAAAGCTCTCTTGCAGACCTAATACTTTGATATAGTTTTTGGAAAAGCAATCTCATAGCTCTGAGTAGTTTTGAGCTGTAAGAATTTTCGATTATACTAAATACCTGATGCGCTATTTCATGACAAACGATAAGAGCTATTTGCTCTTTTGTCTGAGCATTCGTTGTTTCCTGAGAATAAAGAAGCGTGGAGTCACGGAATGTGATGAGACCCCAGTTCTCCATTGCCGCCTCACTAAAGTCGTCCAAAGCGAGAAGATCTGCAAAGTGAAAGGTACAAATGTTTTGCAAGGTTTTATGATCTCACTATCCAAACTTTGATCTTTTTTCCTGATTTCGGTAGAAGTAAAGCTGATTCATGCAGCAGGTTAATCATTTAAGAATCAACCTTTGCTTGTCTGCAAAATCATTAAAGTTCGCTCAATCAGACCAGATCTTGCGATGTTATGAATCTTTCTCCACGCAGGGATCATAAACCTTTCGGCTCATATAATTCTTTTTGGGCGCTCGGATCCAAGTCGCTTACTTTCAAACGTTACATTACGAACATTAAAA